TGATCCACACAGTCAAATGCCTTTGTATAAGAAAGAAAAGTCTACACTAACAAATAAAGACTTTGAAAACTGCCTAACTTTAGATATTATTATCCTAACTAACATATGTTGTTGTGTGTGGATGAATTTGAATCCATCATTAGCTGACTCCTGCAGTGGGATTTTTATAAGCAATTAGTCACACAGTAGATTGCCTTTCTCTCTTGTAGCAGCTGATGGATGCAACCCATTGCCTTTGGCACTGCACTGTAGCACTCAAAACTCTTTTCTATAGTATAAAAGAATATTCCATTACCGAAGGTAATATACATATAACTTTTTACGTAAGTATTTCTTTTTCATCAAGTAAAATACAAGCAGTTATGCAGTAGCTTTAATGAATTAAAACTACAGAACAGATTTCAACCTGCAGTTTGTATGTTTTATTATTATTAGGTACCTTTGGGTCAAGCATAAGTAATAGTGATCTTATAAACAACAGATCTGAACTGTGTCTTAACCTGTACCAACCTCATAAGCTATGAGACTTCAAATCTACTGTTCCTTCACTATCTCTCTATCTTCCCAAGCATGATGTCCTTCTCCAAAGAATAGCCTCTCCTAGCAACATGTCCAAAGTATGAAAGACAAAGTCTGACCATTCTTGCTTCCTAGGAGCAATCTGGCTTCACCCTCTCCAAGACATATCAGTTTGTCCTTTTAGCAGTCTGTGGGATATTCAGCACTCTCCTCAAACACCACAACATAAAGGCATCAATTTTTCTGCTGTAATCCTCATTCACTGCCCATATAAGACTATTTGACACTGAAGAAACTAGTGTACAAATAGGTATGTCAACACACTAAGCAAGTTATTAGAGTCTCAGTTCCTTAATATATACACTGGTGAAACAAATATATTCTCTAGTACTCCTCACAGCATGACTATGATATTGTACTAAGAATTAACCCACTCAATTATATTATCAATATATTATGTAATTTAATATATACACCAGCAATTCTGGTGGCCTAGTGGCAAGAAGCTGTGCTGCAATACTGGAGGCAGGAAGTTCGAGGTCACCAACTGCTCTAAAGGAGAAGGATAGGCAGTCTCCTCCTCTCTGATTAACTGCCTCTGAAAACTTGCTGGAGGGTCAGCGGTGGTCAGTTCTCATTCTATAGTACACAACAACAACATCAATATAACAGCAGAGTGGCTGCAACAATGGGCTGGAGCATCTCAGAGATTGTGGGGATGGTGCAGGGTAGGGCTATGTTCTAATCCATTTTGTTGTTTTATTTTTAGGGTTGCTAGGTGTCATCATGGACTCAAAGGAAGCTAACAACACCAATATGAGTAATAAATCTTACACTATAAAAATTAATTCCAAGCCTGGATAATAAAAAAAAGTAAACTTCTTCAAAGAACACTAGGTAGGCATGAATCACATTTTATCATATAATAGTGATTATCTCTAAATTATTTTATCACAAAGGCATTATTGATTAAGAAGGAAAGAAATTTAAGCAGTCATTGATATCTAGTAACAAAAATAATTGTTATGTCTCCCCAGATCCTTTTTCAGTTTACACAACACAGCAAAGGGGGTAGATTCTATTATAATGCAAATTTAACCATGCTTTTATTCTGCTCAAATACCTCATCTCCCACAGTATAAAATTCTTGCTATAGCCTGTAATGGAAATTGCTAAATTTTTTTAAAAGTTGATGGTTTGAGTCAAACTACAAGGAAAAAGACTGAAAGATCAAGAAATATATTTCAAAAAAACTCCAGCACTAAAAGCCGTTCGGAACCACATTTCTACTCTAACAAACATGAAGATTCCTTGAGTTAGTGCCCATTAGACATCAAATGGTTATGGCCTGTAACAGCCTGTGTGATCTGCATTCCTTTGTCTCTCTTACCTCATGTCTTAATACACTTCCTACTTGCTTAAACCCCTACAGCCACATTCTCCTGATTCTTGCCCCACAATAGTGCTATTATATACGCCTTTCTCAAGGTCTTATATTTGCTGCTTAAAATAGTTCCTCAGGCATCCATTTAGTTGACAGCTCTATTCCTTAATTGTACTTTTCTTTCAAAAAGAAAACACCATCATTTCAGTGAAGTGTACTCTGGCCATTCTACACAATCTCAATATCTATTTTCTCAGCACAACTAAACTTGCTATTTTCATTTACTAATTAAATTTTTCTTCTTGGAATTTATCACTAACATTATGTTGTTAAGTGCTATCAAGTCTCTGGAAAATCATAGTGACCCAATACACAACTACTCTGAATCCTGCGCTATTCTGAGCTAGTCCCACTGTCTCTATCACAACTACCCCATTACTCCTATTATTATGTCAGTACATCTTATCCAGGGTCGTCTTCTCCTGCCCTGTCTCTCCATCCTTCCAAATATAATGTCGTTCCCCAAGGACTGGTACCTCTTAGCAACATGCCCAAACTATGTGAGACAGAGAGATCAAGATCCTTCCCTCCAGGGAGCAACTTGGTTTCACCTTCTCCAGTAAAGACCTGTTTGGTCACTTAAACGTCCACAGTGTGTTCAATGCTCTTATCCAGCACTACAACTCAAAAGCATCAATTCTTCTGTCATCCTTAGTCATGGTCCAGCTCTCTGATACATAGTAAGTAATTATGAAAACTAGGACTTGGATTAGGTGCACCTTAGTCTCCAGACTAACAACTTTGCTTTTCAGCACTTTGGAGAGTTACGTGACAGCAAATTAACAAATGCATTTACTCGAATGAGCTCCTGATTGCTAATG